ACCTTTGTTAACTTCAATAATTGGAAATGTCAGGAGAGCTCCTTTTAATTTTATATACCTTATTTTTTTTGTTAAAATTTAAATCTATCAAAAATTATTTTGGTAAAAAATTTATAACTGTGACAAATTATTTACCATAAATGAAGAGTAGACTTTGGATATAGTGGAATCATTAAAATGGGGCAGTTTCCTCTTTGTTTTAGAAATGCTTGTAATTAAGGTATCACCATCATCAATATGCTGCCTGAGGTGTTCTGCACAGGTTGAGCATTCCAAATGTGAAAATCCAAAATCTAAAACACTTATGCTCCCGAGCATTGCAGATAAGAGATAACTTCTGTTTCTTTGTTCTGCTACTTTTCTTCCAAGGTATCGTTCTCTTACCATTTTTGTTTTTGTTTTTGTTTTTTTTTAATTTAAGAATTTATTTATTTTGTGCAGTTTTGGCCGGGGCTGGGCTTGAACCTGCCACTCCTGGTATATGGGGCTGGCGCCCTACTCCTTGAGCCACAGGCGCCTTGTTGTTTTTTTTTTTTTTTTAAAGTAAATTTATTTTAATGCGAAGGTACAACCAACCAGGTCAAGCTATTTGATTTTGTTAGGTAGAGTCCCTTTTGTAGTTATGTCCCACACACAAAAGGTGTGCCAAACACCCCCAACCTGTGCCATTCAGTGAGAATTTTTGTTTTGAAAAGCAGACTTTTACTGTTTTAAAAATAATTATTTTTGTATGTATAGAAAGCAATTTATAAAAATTTGGTTCATTCCCACATAGTCAAAATTTAATGTGTTTTTATCATCTATGATCCATCTTTGTAGCAACAGGTAATTCAGTCTCAGCTGGTCAATTACTGTGTGGAGGTTTGTTTTCCACTGATTCACTTTCAAACTGGTGTGCTGCTGTGGCCCTTGCCCATGCTTTGCAAGAAAATGCTACCCAGAAAGAACAGTTGCTCAGGGTTCAGCTTGCTACGAGTATTGGCAACCCTCCAGTCTCTTTACTACAACAGTGCACCAACATCCTTTCACAGGTATGGTATCGCATGAAACTTCTCTATGGGGGAAGAGTTCTAGCTGTACATTTTGATGCCAGTGATATGGGGATTCCAGGGTGTCCTTAGAAGATGCTGATGAAAAAGAGAGCAGACCTACCTATCTGCTCATTGGTTCATTGTAACCTGAAACAGTTTAGTGAATAGAAAAGTGATAGATATTCCTATTGGAGTCTGTATTAGGAGGGAAACACGTTCTGGGCTAAAAGCTATTTGGGGGGTTTGTTTTCTTTTTAGATCATCCACAGTGTTCTTGCATGTCATTTTCTCAATAATTAAATTGAGGTTAGTTTATGAGAGGGAATGGAGTAGAGTAGTTCATAGCTGTGCACCTCCCTTTCTCTTCTCAGAGCAATTGATCATCCAGAAAGAAAAAACGGTATAACAGTCCATTGTGTGTAAAGTTACACAGTGTACCCCCTTGTTGTTTGTGAATTCTCAAATCCACAAGTCCCTGAGGCATATAACTTACCTAAGAGGGTGTGGAAAAAGGTAACTAAAATATTTTCACTCCTTTGGACTCCTAATGAAAACAATAAAGCTTCATTGACATGTAAATGCTAGGTACTGCGTAATTACTATTACCTGGTTTGCCTTGCTGTTGAACAATTCAAGTTCACTTTTGCAAAGCCACAGTGTCATCAACATTCAGAATCACTCAGGGAGAGTAAATAGTAGGTAAGTCTAAAATGGCTATTCCAAAACAAATAAAATTTCTCTAACCACTGCTCTAGAAGTAGAATTTATCCTACCCACTCTCAACAATAATGTGCTGTGTCCTACATTAGTTTTTAACTTTGTCACCCTCGCTGAATTTTTTTTTTTTT